AGAGTTGTATGAGCCCCTAATAAAATGATAAAATAAATAAAAAGAAAAGGGAAAAAAAAAGAAAATAGGCTGCCCTGTTCCAGACAGTATTTTCAGTGTCCAGGTATACAACTGGACTGTCAAAGAACAAAATGGTTTTCAATTTGCCTGGGGAACCTTTCTAGGGTTTTTACCTGAAGACAATTTGGGGGAAGGAATGGAGTCAAGACCTGTGCTATCCAACATGGTAGCCACTAGCCACTGTGGTTTATTGAGTACTTGACAGATGGCCAGATCAAATTAAGATGTGTTGTAAATGCAAAATATAACCCAGGCTTATGTCTTAGTAAAATAATTTTAAAAGGATGTGAAATATCTTTTTCCATTTACATTTTCATATGAATTACGTTGAGATGAACATATTTTGGGTTAAATAAAATATCCTATTGAAATAAAAAAAATGTGCTTGAAAGAAATGCTAAGAATCGTTCTATCCCTACTGAACACCAATAACTGGTGTGGACAACCATTAAAGAGTACACCCTCAATGATCCGCATGGGCCTTTCTAGGAGAGATCCGGCAAACGGAGATGCTGAAAGCACTGGTGCTGTTGTTGGGGCCAGCGGGTCCTCCTGCCCCCCAGCCGTCCGTGCACAGCGGAGGACACCCTGCCTGGCCCTGCCCGTCCTCACCACCGTTCCTGGGCTTGAGCCCACGGTTGCAACTACCGTGTCAAACCATCTTGTCCAGGGCCCCCTCTTTTTTTGCGGCCCCTCTCCTTTACCAAGCATGATGCCTTTCCTCGGGGACCTGTCTCTGCTGGCAACGTGTCCAAAGTGTCAGCGGCACGCAAAGATGTATCTACAGGCACACGCCTTTCCAAGGGTTACCGGCATGTCCTGGAAATTTTATTTTAAAGAGTCTTCCAACACACGTGCGGAGAGACGCGCAAGCCTGCACCCTCCCAACACACGTGCGGAGAGACGCGCAAGCCTGCACCCTCCTCAGTTCAGTGCATACAGACCATTCCGCTGAATCCTACAGGACTGATGGTTAGATAACCAACTTCCGTTTGCAATGATCACTTCCACTACTGATGTGTACATGGATACCTGTATCCAAAATATGTGCTCAGGAAAGACCACTCAAGCGTCACTCAGCTCTCTGGCTAACTCAACCACCAGCTTCCTTCCCCTCACCTGTCTGGCCTCGTTCCCGAACCAGTGACATCACCGGTCTTGTCAGCAGGAAAACCCAAGTCTATCCGACCCAGCTCCAGAGCCCAAGCTGGGGAAGAGGCTCTGGTGAAGACTAAGTACGCCACGGAGAAAGAGAAGAAGGGGGCGGGCTCCTAAGTGGTTAAACACAGACAGAAAGGCCCCCAGGACGGAGAAAGCCCACCAAAGTGAAGACAGATCTGAGCTTGACTAGATCACACAAACAAACAAACAAATAAACATGGACATCTGGGAAATAAGAAGGAAAGGACTTGGAAAGGCAGGCATCTCCGAGGAAAGGGGGCAACTTGGAAGGAACGGAGACTTCCCGACTCATTTGCACTCGGATAGAAAACATGATCAGAAGAAAAGAATGAACAATCTACAGATCCATGTTTCAGTGTCAGAAAATCCCTAACAAATTTCAACAAACAGAAACGAAATGTCCTCGGGTGGCACCCCTGACGAAGTGCTCGGTTCACAGTCATCCGGAAGCCCCTTGGAAGATAGGCTTGGCTGTTTCCAAAAGGTCATAGGTTTGAAAGCCCGATGCACTTCGACTCGGCGCACATGGGGTCGACATGAATTGGAATTGGCTCAACAACATGCAACAAAGCAAGTTCACCCCCAAGGAGGTGGTGG